TGTGGTTGAGTCTGTCCATGTGTTGTGCAATTAAGGAATTTTCATCATGTCTTCTGACTGCAAATATGCAAGAGAATTCTTGGAAGCCTGGTATTCCAAAAGAGACAAAAGACCAGAAGATCGCCTCACCAGCATCAGATGTTACCTAGCTGGGTAATGAAACGTTTGCAAGAAAAGAACCAAGCTCAGAGAACCCCAAGGACGCCGCCGTTCAACCCTGAACTACACATATTCGCCTCCATTGCTACATGAAACTGCCTTTGAAGATCACCAAAAAACTGCAACTGAACAGCCCACCCACTAGCACATGTAAGCTGTTGCAACCATATAACACTGGTTTTGCAGACATTTCATTGGTTTCCAATAGGTTGTCAGGCAAAAATGTGGTTTTGGGGTATAAAGGCCTTCGGAACTTGACTCTCGGGTATCTTCAAGCCATCTCCTTCAAGTATAACTCTCCCACCCCATGTGTTCACCCCCCAAGGGGATACTTAAGGTCTCCTCTGCTAGAGAGTTTGGGGTGGGGGAGAAAATGTTTCTCTTGCATCTCTTTCACTTTGGAACAGCCTCTCCCCAAAGGTGAGGTGCAAGGCTGTTAAAATGGCACTGTTAATCTGTAATTGTCAGCAATGGGTTTGGGGCCAGCAGGCATCACTTAACTGATGTACTGTTGATTTATTTATTTTGCCTTCCTTTCTATGATGATGAATTGCCAGGACAGTCTGGAGTATGGCAATATATGGAAACTGTGAATAGCCCCCCCAACCACCACCACCCCACAGGGCTCCCTACTTTACCTGCCGGCAAAAGCCTTTCAGGGACTTGCATCCAGAAAAACGGGGGAAAGTCCTGGGTCGGATCCAGAGGCAGGTCGTCGACTGCCACCTTCAGCCGGCTGGGAACCCGCATGAGCCGGCTGACGGCTTCGCTGAAGGCTGCCTCTCGGTTGGCCTTATCCAGCCGCGCAGAGCACATGGCCCTCTCGTCGGTGTCCTGTAACGGGAGCGGTTGCCAAAAGGCTTTCCTCGCTGCGCAGCGATTCGAACGCTCAAGCGCGGGCGCGAGAGTTGTGGGGACAGGAGAGCTCATCTTGGGATTTTGCCCCCTCCCCCTGGAAAAGAGATCCTGCGATGCCACTCAGACACCAGAAAGAGGGCCTCTCCCTAACACAAGTCCCGAACACAAACGCTCCGCCGAGCAGCCGCCGGGCTCCGGGGTGAGGATCCTCGCCAGCAAGCCCCGGCACGGCCTCCATGTTAAACAGCCTTCCCCTCGCTCAGCCCTGAAAGCATGCCCGCAAGAGGGGCCTGCCACAGGGCGAGCTGACCAGCGTCCAAACACCGGTCTAACTCTTGCGCGCGCGCACACAATCTCTTTCTCCTGAGTGCGGGCGCGGTGGACAGGTCAGGTCACAGGCGTTCTTTAACGCTTTCGCACCACAGCAAGGAACCCTACAAGGAGGAAGCAGGGGAGGCCGGGACGGGCGAGGAGGAGTAAAAGCGGCGGATCGCCCGTCGCCCTGCCTGGCCTCGTCCCGCCCTGTCCCC